GCTCTTTTAAAATCTAGCAAAAGCCTAAGTTTCAGAGGTATTTTTTTTGTTTGTTTTTAATAAAATTTACCTTTTTTAAGAACAGGTTTGGATTTTTGGTGTCCTAAGAGCACATGTTGTTTAATTTGCTGGGGGGGCAACAGCTAATTCCTTTGTTTTCTTTCTCCGCTCTTTCCCGGAGTGGGGGTGAAAGGGCTTGAGGGTACCCCACAGGGAGGAATTCCCAAGTGCACCTTCCTGGTTCCAAGGGTTTTGCATTTGGGTGGTGGCAGCATCTACCCAGCCAAGGTCAGAGAAAAGCTGTAACTTTGGGAGTTTAATACAAGCCTGGAGTGGCCAGTATTAATTTTTTAAAATCCTTGCGGGCCCCACATTCTGCACTCGACGGGCCAGAGTGGGGAATCAGCCTGGACACGGTGGCAGAGCGGTGGGATCATTTTGAACCAGAAACACAGACCTCGGGATTTTAAAAGGGCGCTACCACCCCCACTTCATTTAGCACCAGTTGAAAGGGGTGAGGGAAGGCAGCCCAGGAGGAACAGGCGAGAGGGTCTTCACCAACACACCGGGGATCTCCAGAGTTAAAAACACAAGCCCTACAGCTTAATAACCCATGCTCCATTGGTGAGGTGTGCAACGACTGGTATCCCCTGTGGAGTGGCACAAGGCTAACCTGTAATGCACTTACCACTGGGTTACAGTAGCACATTGTGGGGATGTCTGCACTGCAGCTGGGACCAAGCCCCCCAGCCCAGGTAGACAGACATGCATTAGTGGGGCTCATACTAGTGCGCTAAAAATAGTGTGTAGACGGGCCAGCCATGAGCTCAAGCCCACCCTACACCCTGGGTATGAGCCTGGGTTGCTAGCCCAAGCCGTGCCAGGGCCACACAGCTGTTTTTAGTGCCAGAGCATGAACCCCACTAGCCTAGCTGGGCTGGGGGCTCGTTCCCAGCTGCCGTGGCGACACACCCTGTGATGCGCTGGAGAGAGACAAGGGCAAGATGCATATGATGAAGAGTTTTCCAGACATGGTGCAGGCTCTAGAAACCTGCTGTCATGAAACCCAGTCACTGTGGTGTTCTGCAGAGGGGGAGGGAAGTCCGAAGCCCAGGTATTAAGGTGGGTAGAGGGGGGATCATAAGACACTGCTCCCAAAAAGCTCCACTGAAGTGAGTTTAATTTAGTCTTGTCTCGCTAATTCTGTGCGGGGGAGACCGGTAGTGGCTCCGAACAAGGTGTGAGGTGTTGTCAGATGCTACCGGTGTGGTGCTCTGCTTTCTCCTGCTGATATCACTCGGCTGCGTGCGTGTGTTCCCTCTGTGTGCTGGCCCAGCTCTGCGCAGATAGCTGACACAGCAAACCCGACGAGAACCCCCAATAACCAGAGTCTAGTAAGGTACGAAGGCACCTCGGCCAGGTTTATTGCGACCCTGACACAATTTCAGTTCCCCATAGATTACTTAGTCTACCGGGCATATTACTAGAAAGTGCCGCTCGGCAATGGACTCGGCTCAGTCAGTGGCGGGACTTTCCACCGCCCCCTCGGCTGGACAAAGATATCCACTCAGGGATGCCTTCTTATCCATAGATACAAACAAGTTACACATCACTCCTGACGTATTGAGGTGCAACATGTGTACATGTTGGTTCGATCAAAACAACTCTATCCATCGTTTTACCCTTTTGCCCCCGTCATTGGGATGGGTCGTCCTGTTCCATGTTATCTGTGGAATGTTCCGGTATAGTGTGTTCTGTACTTTAGCTTTGCTAGGTGAATATATATTTATGCAACATCAGCCCCTTTCCTGCCAGCTTCTGTGAGCAGGGCCTGCCTCTGGCTCACAGCTTAACTTTGCTTTATGTTAGCAAAGTCTTGACCATTACTTTAGTGTAAGCCTTAGGCCTCATACTGGGCCTCTGATACCAAGGTTTATATCTCAGGGCCTCCAAGATGTAGTATTGGTACCCAGACACTGAACAAGATTGTTTTGAATAACATGTGCCTCAGTTAGGATGCAGTGTCACTGACCCAAATTATGACTGGTACCAACAGGCAATTTGTTTACCCAATTTGTAGTTACTATGTAACTTTTTGTTTGTTTACCACTTTGTTTTTTCCTTGCCCTCATGTTGTTTGCTGCCATTTATTTGTTCATTTTTACCTGTATGTTGGTTAAACAGTTTAGCAAGGTTATGCACATTGTAAGTGTTGTACAGCAATAATACAATATAGCAATAAGACAACAGTACAACAATAATACAGTAGTACAGCAATAATACAGTTGTTTTTACATAGTATCCAAGTTGAAATTAAATGATGGCTTATTTTGGTCCACCTAGTGGCTTTTAGCTGATTGTTAACTTAATTGTCCATATATGGTAGATAGAGGTGTGTTTGACCAGTCTCTTATTTATAAAGTACTTCATTTTTCTTTTCTTGATGCTTGGGGGTTTTCTTCAGTGTATACTGATATCATCTGGTATTTTTGTGGCGTGATGTCTTTTGGTGTCTTTAGTCTGTGGGATGCAACTTAAACAACTTTTGTTAGTTAACAGAGTAAAGTTTTTTTGTTTTGTTTTGTTTTTGTTTTCTGTAACCCAAACTTAATACACAGTTTAACTTAGTTTGTTTACAATGTAATAAGAACAAGGTAATAGGGACCGAGCCTTTTATAACACAAGCTATACTTTTGCAATTGTTGTATAGACATTCATTTTCATTTGAAGTGCATTACTAATATTTTTATACGAAATGTAATGCTTAACGGATAAAATAAATGCTCACAATCTTCCATGCGAATGTGTATTGCTTTCCCTTGCTGAACAATTTGTTTCAGCAAAGGAGTTAACAGAATTTTTACCAAGCTTTTTAGAGTTAATTTGCTTGCGATACCAATTTCACTTTTGTTAACTGTTTAGAAGCACTACTTTAACAACCACTGCTTCCCATTAACATAACATAACAAAAGAAAAGCATAAAAAATTAAACCAACTATAAAATTAAACCAAAATAAATTTTAAATACAGTACTTTGAGGGTATTTGAGGGTATACTTTCATGATGCTTTGTTATGTTTGGGAGCCAAAGGTGGAAACCTGTTCAAATTGTTTGGTTAGCTTTATGCATAAATTGTTATTTTAAAACATTTTGGTTATGACATTCTTATAACTATATTTAAAAGTGCAAACGAGTTTATAAAAAGCCGCAAAAAAGAAATTAACATTTTGTTAATATTATCTTTACCTTAATATTGAAGGTTTCCCCTTACATTTTTTCTTTGAATAACAAATAAAAAAAAAAAAACTTAAAAATCACAACAAAACTGTGATTGATTAGAGAATATTTTTTGTTTGCAATTGCATTATTTGTTGAGGCAGAAATATATGGAAATATATGTACATATATTTGTCTAATAATACTATGATTATACCCCAACCATAATCTTAAAATAGTGTGGTACCACATATACATAAATTTTTAAAAGGGTATAAAATTGACTTTTGTTGCAACAAAATAAAAATAATAAAAAATAGTCACGTAACACACAACATACAACACACATGACATACAGGACAAACTTACAATTAACAACAAATGGCGCCAGAATTCTATTCATAACTATACAAAGTAAGACAAACAAAAATAAAAAATAAAAAGGGTTATACTTGAATAAACAAATTATTACCTTATTTAAAACTTGTCACATAAATTGTTAAAAATACATTAATATTTGCCAAATGAATTGTATTAATTTGGTAACAAGGAATTTTGCATTACTTTTATATTTAACATTATTTTAAAACTCTGCTATATGGAAATAAGAGAAGTCCATGTTTCAAATATTAGTGAGTGGTTAGGATTAGAAGCAGAGTGTGCATTTCTGTTGCTTGGCAACCCTATCTTCAAGAAAGTTAGGAATAATTCCAGCTGTTGCATTCCTGAAGGGTTAAAATACTTACTGGATTTATTTAAAGTAAAGTTTTTACCTTGTTTTCTTTTTGTTTCTTGTTTTATTCTGTTTTCAATTGCTTTATCTTTTGGAGGTTTCTGTAACAACTATAACTTTTAAAACAAAGGTTTCAGAGTAACAGCCGTGTTAGTCTGTATCCGCAAAAAGAAGAACAGGAGTACTTGTGGCACCTTAGCGACTAACAAATTTATTAGAGCATAAGCTTTCGTGGACTACAGCCCACTTCTTCGGATGCATATAGAATGGAACATATATGGAGGAGATATATATACACACATACAGAGAGCATAAACAGGTGGGAGTTGTCTTACCAACTCTGAGAGGCCAATTAATTAAGAGAAAAAAAACTTTTGAAGTGATAATCAAGCTAGCCGAGTACAGACAGTTTGATAATAAGTCTTAATTGGCCTCTCAGAGTTGGTAAG